CGCAATACCTTAAAGGCACCAGATCTTGGCTAAGCAAGGTCAGTCCTGGTTAGTACGTGGAGGGGACACCACCAATGAATCCTAGGTGCTGTTGGCTACATTTCAGAGGAAGGAACTGGCAAAATGATTTCCGAGTATTCCTTGCCTAAGGAAACCCTATGGAATTGATGGGGTTGCCATAAGTCAATGTGTGTCTTGAAGGTACAGACATTCTCTTTCTGTCTCTGCCTCTGTGGATAGTATATGTTTTATTGTTTTGTCCTTTATTATATACACCTTTATTATATACACCTGGGGTTCCACCCTTTGGTAGAAAGGGCATCAAATAATAATAATAATAATAATAATAATAATAATAATAATAATAAATTGCCACCATTTGTCTGATACTACAGGTTGAGTATCCCTTATCTGAAATGCATGGGACCAGAATTCAGCTCCCCCCTGCCCCCAGATTTTGGAATATTTGGGATTTTGGAAAATGCAATGGGTCCTTGGTATCCACTGGCATTTGGTCCCAGGAACACCCATGGAGACCAAAATCTGTGGATGCTCAAGTCCCATTATATACAATGGTGCAGTAAATTGGTGTACCTAATACAAAATGGTGTACCTAATACAAAATCAAGGTTTGCTTTTTGCTTTTTAAAATTTATTGCCATATTTTCAAGCCATGAATGGTTGGATTAGTAGATGCAGAATTTGTGGATATGGAGGGCCACCTGTATGACTAGCATGGTACTTACTGTATTTGCGAAGCTGGAGAGAGACACAAGGATCTGTGAAATGGCAGCAATCCAAGCATAGCGCTTGGAGCAAATCCACACCTCCCGCCATTTCACAGATCCCCGGGTCTCTCCACAATCACAACTCTACAATCATGACTCTCTCCAGCTCTCTGTATTCATTGTCCACAGAATCAACCATACATGGCTTGAATATATGTACAGCCGGACCATTCTGAACCCTGTCCCCTGCAGATACCGAAAAACGTGGGACCCCAAATCCTGTTCTCCCTAATGACGGTGCGACATGTGCACAGCTGCTAGTGTGGCCATGTACACACACTGCCATTGGGGACAACAGGGGCATTGCTGTCCACAGAAGCTTATATTCCATATATATATATATATATTCCAAAAAGCAAACCTTGATTACACGCCATTGCATTTAATGGGACTTGAGCATGGTACAATACTATACTATATAAGAGATCTCCAAGGAACCCACCAGCTGCCCACTTCCACCTTGCGAGTGAATGAACCAGAGCACTGGCTCCGGCCATCATGCCGGTGTTCAAAAATTTTCTGATTTCTGGATAAGGGACACTCAACAGTAGAACTCTGCAGATTGCTGTCCATGGAGAAGAATTTGAAATTAGAATTCCAGACTTATCTTTTGGGTAAGCAGTAGTATCACGCATGTGATGGTTCTCCTGTGTCCAACTCACCAGTACAAGCTGTGAAACAAGGAAGATATATATATATATATTAATAATGGACCAGAAACCTGTTGGAGTCTTATGCATGCATACATTTCCCCAAAGAAGCGGCGGGTCTTTAGCCTTCTCTGCCAAAGTGTGTTGGTGCCTCGCAAAACCACAAATCCTAGGATTTTGTAGGATGGAGCCAGGGCAGTTAAAGGGGTGTGTGTGTCAAATTACATTATTTCTACAGTGTAGATGCACCCTTTGACTTTTTCACACTCTGCAGTTATAGCACTATGTTTCCACTTTAGCTGTCATAGTTCCATCCTATGGAGTCCTGGGATTTGCAGTTTAGAGAGAGGCATTAAAGTGCATACTCAACATAAGAGTTACATAACTTAATTAACGTCTAAACCCACGTATCAAGTTGTTTGTTTGTTTTTTGCTATTCGTGCTGGTGAATTGGACACAGGAGTATCCAAAAATCCGAAATGATGTTCAATTTTTGCTATTTGACTTGTAGTTTTGTGAGATGTTAAGCCTTCCCTGTCACACTATAAATCTCTGGCCTCCATAGGAAGGAGCTATGGCAGTTAAAGTGGTATCAAATGGCATTATTTCTGCAGTAGGGATGCAGCCAAAGCCTGCATCTTTCTCAGCATGGCTGCGCATCTTTCCCAGGCCTACAAGCTGAAATATTTCCCACTGGAGAGACAGAAGCGGGGACAAGGCCTATCACCTTGTTCCGATCAGAGATAAGAATATTTGATCAGAGATAAGAGCTCAATTTCCCCTGAGCTGATTCTCAGGTGTGCATGTTGTCCACCTACCGAAGGAATGGCCAGACAGGAGGGTCACTGAAGGAGAAACTCACATAACCCCTGTTTATGGGCACTGTTGATCAAAAGATGCACTGTTTGCAAACCCTTGTTTGGCTCTGTGAGCATACTGGGGCATCCAAAGCTCTGGACAGAGGAATCAGCATGGGATTAAATGAAGAGGCTTGCCAGTTGTACACCACAGGGGTAAGGAATGTGCAAATTGAGTCTCGCTAGGCAAAACACCACTGAACACGACAAAGGTCATGGCTACAACGGGGGACCTCGTGCCCAGCGACTGTTCAGATTCATCTAGTTAGCAGGCTGGGCGAAGCGGCCCCATTTGCAACTAATGGGGTGCAATTTGCTGTGCCGGGCAAAGCTGTGCCAGCATTCAAATTGATCTAATTTACAGTACAAAAGATTTGGGCGGTGTGTATGTGTGTGTGTTTGCATGTCTCGGTGTCAGAGGCCGGCTTTGACTTGCTTACCGTCTTGGTCCTTCATCTCAGTCCTGACGATGTCCTTCACTGCTTCTGCCTGCAGTCAGAAAGCACACACACAAAACAACAACCACAACCCTCTGAGGTCAGCATCCTGGTAGCAACCTTTGCCCTATTCAAAATGCCCCGAAGATGCCAGGGGTGTAGCTATTGGGACCGGGAAAGGAAGGCATTACTCCCCAAAATAGGAATTCTGACTCTCCATTAAATTTTCCTCCAGTCTCTACATGTCTGGAAGCACTGCAATGTAACATTTCGGTTTTGCATTTAGAAATTTGCATCCAAAGAAAAGGGGCAGGTGACTCAGGGAATGCGATCCCAGCAAAGAGAAGAGTTCTCTCAGTGAACGATTTTTAACGTTTCACTCTTTGCAAGGCTAGAGATTTGGGGACCAAAGGTATATTTCATTTGAAGGGAAGCAGAGTTTATATTGGGGGGCAATTTCCTCATTTTTCTCCCCTTGTAGCTTCAACTCTAGTGGATGCACAATCCAAAGGGTAAAACTCCATCCCAGTTAGGACAAGAAAATAAGGGGTTCCTCTACACTGTTGAAACAATGCAGTTTGACACCACTTGAAGTGCTGTAGCGCCATCCAATGAATATGTGGGATTTGTAGTTTTATAAGGTTATTAGCCTTCTCTGCCAAAGAGTGCTGGTGCCTCCCAGGATTCTGTCGCATAGAACCATGGCAGTCAAAGTGGTGTCAAACTGCATTATTTCTACATATAGAAATAATATCCCTGAACATGGAGATATGACAAACTATCCCCACCGCATACATTAAAAAGTTGGGAAGTACTGTGGCTTACTTCTGCACAATCCAAATTCAAATTATGGCAATTGGAGAAAGGAAAGCAGGAATGGCTGGTGATGTCCTTGATTGTGAATCTGTTCCGGCTTTTAGTCTGAACCTCGAAAGGAGCTAACCCTGAAATAGAGTCAGCAGGGCTACCAAGTGTGGCACAGTGGTTTGAGCGTTGGACTATGACTCTGGGGACCAGGGTTCGATTCCTAGCCTGGCCATGAAACACGCTGGTTAACCTTGGGCAAGTCACACTCTCTTAGCCTCAAGGCAATGGCAAATGTCCTCTGAATAAATCTTGCCAAGAAAACCCTATGACAGGTTTGCCTTAGTGTTTCCATAAGTCAGAAATGACTTGAAGGCACACAACAACAACACAACAACAACAGAATCCAGGAGGAAAAGAAGCACAACCAAACTTTAAAACTGGCTGGGCAAACTGCAACCATTTGGTATTTAATGTATGCCAAAGCAATTTTTATACCCCTATGGGCTGCAATGACATTGCCTCCAAATTAGATTAACCAACAGGATTCCAGGCCCTGTGAGATCATGGACAGGTTTTAGAAACTGCTCAGTGTCATAACAAAGATCACTTTGTGTTCTACAACCTTTAATATATCCTTTAACCTTCCAGTTCAATTATCAGAGAATATATCACGTATAGAGTCAAACATTTGTATTTGCCTCTGTTATGGAATATTTTTGCAGATGACCTAAATGTGGTTTGCAGGCCAGCCACAGGTCAAACTTAAGGTTGCCATCCCAGGCTTGGTGATGTCAATAAACATGATGCATTAAGCATCAGGAATATTTGCTCAGAGCATTCAATTAAAAATCAACAAGCCTAACAAATGAGATAAAGGAAGGAGAGGAAGTCTCTGGAAAGTTAATAGCAGCTGCTCTGAAGCAAGAACAAGCGCTAGCAGCATATACTTTTTTTTAAAAAAGTTTTCTTTTCAGGGCACTACTCTCACTCTGAGATTCCTCCTATTGCTCTGAAGCCTGCAGAATCCGATCAGGCCTTGAGATGTGGGAACATCATCTCTTCTAGGCTGGATCTGCACTGCAAAAATAACATAGTTTAACACTGCTTCAAGTGCCACGGCTCAATGCTATAGAATCCTGAAATTTATAGTTTGTTTGGGCACCACAGCTCTCCGACAGAGAAAGTGAAATATCTCACAAAACTACAAATTCCAGGATTGCATGACATTGAGCCATGGTGGCTAAAGCAGTGCCAAACTGCGTTATTTTTTGCAGCGCAGATTCAGCCCTAGACCTTCATCTTGAAGAAGTCTTTCCTATATCCACAATCAATGAAGAACACACTTACAGAAAGCCCAGGATCTCCTTTTTCTCCTTTCCGACCAGCAGGGCCTTCTTCTCCCTGTTGAAACAACTTGGTTAATAACAAAGATATTTTGATG